ACTTATCGAGTCAATGGATGGGAATGAGTAAGTAGATAACTCCCTAATTCCCACGGTATTAGGGAGCTATCTACCAAAAGGCTGAAAGACCTAAATTGGTCTTTCAGACAAATTTACTAATACTAAGTAAAAATTACTTAGTATTAGTAAATTCTGTGGTTGCTCACTGTTAAAAAAAAAAAAAACAACAACCCAAGTTTCCCCCCTCCCGAGCCCCCACCCGTGCCGCGTGAGTGGGGGCTTTTAAATTGAGCGGTGGGTGGGGGCCCTAAATTACTTCAAAAGGGGGGGACCTATTGTCCTCCCCCTGGCCCCCACCCCTGAGCAGCAGATGGGGGCCCTAAATTAGAATAGGGGGGACCTATTGTCCTCCCCCTGCCCCCAACCCCTGAGCGGTGGGTGGGGGACCTAAATACCAATAAGGGGGGATCTATTGTCCTCCCCCCGGCCACCACCCCTGAGCAGCGGGTGGGGCCCCTAAATCCTACAAACCTAATGTCCTCCCCCCCGGCTCCCACCAATGAGCGGCAGGTAGGGACCCTAAAGTAGAATAAGGGGGGGGGGGACAACTATTGTCTTCCCCCCCAGCCCCTACCCCTGAGTCATGGGTGGGGGCCCTAAATAAAAATATTACCCCCCAGGTGACTAGGGGTCCCCAAACCCCAAGTCACCCAAACCCCAAGTCACCCAAACAATTTTTTATAAACCCCTACCTACCCTCCTCACACTAAAAATAATGAGGGGGAAACAATAACTAAGTACCTGTAAAAAAAAGAATTAAAACTTACCATTTGATGTCTTCTTTTTTCTAAAATCTTCTTTTTTCAGCCCCAAAAAAGGCCAAATAAAAAACAATAATACCCGTCGCACTTTTGAAAAAAAAAGAAACCAATAAACTGAGAGCAAAAAAAAAAATCAGACGAAAAAAAGTAATCCATCTTCACCCATGGAGGGCACCGCGCAGACTGAACTCTGCAGGGAGGGGGAAGGCTTATAAAGCTTTACCCTGCCCTGCAACTAGACTCAGAGCACTCTGATTGGTTGGTTTAAGCCATCCAATCAGAGTGCTCTGAAAGGTAAATGAAGAGACTGACAGGTAAGTCTTTACATTTACTTGTCACAGCACTCTGGTTAGCATGAAATCCAACCAATCAGAGTGCTCTGTGTCATTTTACACAGCATGGGAAAGTTCTTTGGAATTTTCCCACGCTGTGTAATTTGACTCATAACTCTCTAATTGGTTGCCTTCTATCATCCAACCAGAGTGTTGTTCTTATGAGTCAAATAGGTCTACCATGAGTCACAGGCTGCTCACTGTTTACTAGACATGCCCTTACCCGCGGTATAGCGAGTAGGGGCAGAATTTACTAATACTAAGTAATCTTTACATAGTATTAGTAAATTTTACTGAAAGACCAATTTAGGTCTTTCAGCCTTCTGGTAGATAGCTCCCTAATACCGTGCGAATTAGGGAGTTATCTACTATGAGGCTGCAAGAGAACATCCAAAGTCCTGAAATGTCGAAGTTCCGAATTGCCAAAGTCCTGAAGTCCCGAATTTCGGAATGCCGAACCGAATATTTTCCCCATGTACATCCCTAGTAGTCTACCCAGCTCTGTGGGAATAGGCATCTTGTATTGTGCCCAGTTCTGTATTAGATCTCTATTTTATCTCAGCTCTGTTTGTGATATGGTTATCTCTGTACCATTTCCTCTCTGCCTGCATTTTACTTATAAAGAAAAGATCTCGACTGTTTTATCAATCAGTATTTGCAATGACATGTTTGTATACTCTCTGTGTTTCTTTTCCCTTCATGCACATCTTTTGTCAAGATCTCAAACTTCTTAAAGCGGCACTGTCATGCCGAACTTACCTTTCCTCAATCTCTTCCTCTTCTCCCCCTCTCTCAGGATCTGTTCTTTTCTTCCTGTCTTCTTTAGTTTTCTTTAAAATCATAAGACAAAGTAGGGACTCTTTACCTTATGGAGGATTCCTCCGCTTGACCAGCTCTGACCAGCTCTAACCAGCTCTGACCAGCAGAGGAGCAAAGTGTGCTTCATTTCCGCTGGTCAGAGCAATTTTCCCATGATCCTTACCTTCCCTCTGTGTTCCCACAATGCTTCCTGTCACTTTACACAAAACTGCCGAATTGCGTTCTAACTGAATGAGAACAGTATGTTTGTTTGTTTTAGAACGCAATTCGGCATTTTGTTCGGATCGCAATTTAATTCGAATGAATGAAACTCCGATCCTATTGATTGCTGTGGCTGCATCTTGCGGCCGCTTAGTAGATAACTCCCTAATTCCCACGGTATCAGCCACATTTACTAATACTGAGTAAAAATTACTTAATATTAGTAAATAATATGCCCCTACTCGCTATACCGTGAGTAGGGGCATGTCTGGTAAACAGTGAGCAGCCTGTGGCTTTACTTAGGGCCCCCACCCGCAGCCCAGGGGTGGGGGCCGGGGGGGAGGACAGTAGGTCCCCCCCCTCATTATCTTTATGGCCCCCACCTGCTGCCCAGGGGTGGGGGCCGGAGGGGGGGTGGCCAGTAGGTCCCCCACTCCTCATTATCAATATGGCCCGCACCCGCCGCGCAGGGGTGGGGGCCGGGGGGGGTGTAGGACAGTACGTCCCCCCCCTCATTATCAATATGGCCCCCACCCGCCGTGCAGGGGTGGGGGCCGGGGGGGCAGTAGCTTCCCCCCCTCATTATCATTATGGCCCCCACCCGCCACCCAGGGGTGGGGGCCGGGGGGGGCAGTAGGTCCCCCCCTCATAATCATTATGGCCCCCACCCGCCGCCCAGGGGTGGGGTCGGGGGGGGTAGGACAGTAGGTCCCCCCTCCATTATCAATATGGCCCCCACCCGCCGCGCAGGGGTGTGGGCGGGAGGGGGGACAATAGGTCTCCCCCCTTATTTTACTTTGGGGCCCCCACCCGTCGTTTAGGGGTGGGGGCCAATAGTTGTTGTTTTTTGTTTTTTTTACAGTGAGCAGCCACAGGCTGCTCACTGTTTAGTGGACATGCCCCTACTCGCGGTGGGGGGGGGGCTTATGAAGTGGTGGGGAGCATTGCTCCCTGCCGCTTCTATAGTTACATATTACAAGGAGAGAGCTGCGTGCCTGTAGCTCCCTCCTTGTAATAACCTGCATGAACAAACATACACTGATACTCAGATACACTGATACTCAGATACACTGATACTCAGTGTTTGTTTGTTTGGCTGATATTTCTATTCATTCATTCGTCTGTCTGATGAATGAATGAATAGATGAAATTCCCGTTCGCATGTCCAGGTGTTTCACTGGGCATGTGTGGGAATCTCACAGTCTGTTTAGTGAGGGCTGATGACGTGTCCCACAGGGACTTCATCTACCCACACAAAGATGGCGGCGCCCTGAATAAAGATCGGGGCAGAAAATAAAGATTAAAAAATAGGTAATGTGGGGGGCTTAGGAGCATTTGGGGGTGACTAGGGTGTTAGTTAGATGTAGTGGAGGCCGGAGGGGGGGTTAAAAAAACAAAACAGGATTCGGCATGACAGTGCCGCTTTAATAAAAAAACAAACTCAAAATTCCATGTAAAATAGACTGGGGTAATCTACTTTTGTGAACATTATTATATGGTAGCAGTAAATTGAATGTAGAACCTACTATTTCCCTCCATTGGAGACACAGGCCTGGCAAATCAGTGCATCACAAGTCCATAATTTGATTTTATGAACCTCCAAAACCCTGTCTTAGGTATAAATGTGAGGTATTGCATACCAAGGAGATATGTATTAGAGCACGGCAGGATTTTTCTGCCTTGTTGTTTGTTCAGTTTTACATCCACATGGTGCTTTTGAGATGCTGAATTTGGCCGACAAGTCGTTCTGCATGAATCACCTGAATCTCGATTCAGACAAAACTCAATGCTCAAATCTAGCTGCCATCCTCTTCTGTGATTGCACAGTTTGTCTCATCAACTCCTCTCTGAGCATATCCTGCTCATGAGTGTACTAAATTAAAACTAAATTAAAATGAGAAGTGCATATTGCAGATGCTATCCTGGAGCATAACTGACACAAATCTCAGGTTGTGATAAACTACCAGTTGGTTTGCTTGGAAACAAACTCAGTTGCAGTGTCATGGCAACCCCTTGCAAACATGACCTTCCCATGTGCCTGAGAGCGACACAGGAAACTGAGAGATCTATGAGGGCACGGGTGTCTTTATTTACAGAGGAAGCAATAAGTTAGAAATTAGCAGACAGGAAGCAGAGTCAGGTGGTCTAATGGTGTGGGTTGGCAGCAAGAAGCAAAGTCTAGAGTCAATCCAAAAGTCAGAAGTTAGGAAATGGCTTCTAATTGGGAGTAGGATGCCTAAGATCACAGGTTGGAAACAAAGATTCTGGTCAAGGGTCAGAAGATGAGAAGTTTTACCAGAAATCAAGTCAAGAATCAGGACCAGGAACCAGGAACAAAGCTCAGGAATCAGAACCAGGAGACTAGGTGCAGGAACCAGAACAACCAAACAAGTGCAGTACTAGGCTATTTATCATGTGATCAGCCCCCACCTTCCTGTAGGTGGAGCCTCTAGTGGTGATAAAGAAGGCGAGGAGGCCAAGTGCCATCTTGGTACAGTCACTCAAGGACTCCGTTCCACCAAACCTCCCTGATCCCCTCTGCATGCTGCACCGGGGTCTGCAGTGCGGCCGCCATCTTGCAATTGTGACAGGTCCTAAATGACTCATCATTTCAACTGAGGTTCTTTCATTTTTCTATCAAGTACTTTATTGACTCATCTATGACTTATAGTAAGAGGATCTCTTACTAGGACTATCTCTACTACTGATATTATCTGTATATATATATTTTTATCTTTGGTGCGACTTTTCCTTGTCTTGTCTTGTTTTTATTAGTTTAAGGGTCTTGAGGGATGCTCTTTTTTTAGGTTGCTGCCTTCCGGTATTTTGTGTGTTCATTAGCGCTGACTTATTTCTTGGTTTTTGAAGGTCCTAAATGAAGCCTGGCACCGGACAACAGTCAAGACAGTGCAAGCACAACAAAATCTAAAGATCTTCTCTCAGGATACCAAGGGAGTGCTGGGCAGGTAAGAGCTGGTGGGTACAGTGACACAGGTGACCTGAACATGTAAATGTCTGTGCAGTGTGGAGTTTCTAATCTAGGGAGGAGCAGTATCATTCAAACCATACATTGTGAGAATAATTCAGAGGTGATGTCAACTATCTTGCTGCCAGAGTTTGAAAACACGATTTGCTAGAGAGAGTGTGCAAAAACTAATTTTCATCATGGACTTTATCACATTACTTCCAATCTGCCTTTATGTTAAACTATAATATAAGCTCTTTTGGTATTGCTATTTTTCCAGCTTTTGTTTTTACCCTTTTTTTGGCATGACTGAATAAAACAAGTTTATTGATTGCTTTTTCACTAAAATGTAAAATAAAAAACTCTCTAGATGAAATTATTAATTTTTTGAACCCACAAACATTTGACTTGGCAATCAGACAACATTATTCTCAGGAGACTTACAATTTACAAGTCCAAGAACCATGCTATGAATTATAGCAAATAAGGTGAGTATACAATACCAAATAGGGTGATTCAGAGAACCATCATAACTGTGTCTGAAATATCTAGAAAATAACGTATTGTTACCAATAACTGTTTATATGATCGCTTTTTTACACTGACAGCTCTAAGCTCTTAGAGAGAATCTTGTTTCACGCAGCCGGACAATTTACTTGTGTAACAAAAATCTACAGTATGTCACTAACTTAAAAAAACTTAGCGTTTTCATACCAAGCCAGAAGCAGTCTGATATTTTTTTCTTTCTTTCTAATGCTGAAGGCATCACAACAAATAATGTAAATTAAATGTGTGAAAATAATAAAAATTGTTTAGCAGCCTAAAAAGGGATGTTTGGTAACCACTTGATGCCTATAGGAATATTAAGTTAAGTAATATTCAAATTCGGCAAAAGGTATAATACCTCATTGGAACTATTTGATATTGGATTGAATCTAGACTCAAATAAAGATGTATTTTAGAAACTGAGAATGATGATCGACCGTGATCAGTAATACATTAGCTTAGTTTCATACAACTGGAAGTCTCTGGGCCTATGTGCCACTTTGGGCCATTGATTTAAATACTGCAAACAAACTACCTATACTGTAGGTTTTATTGTATTACATTATTAATTTAACAGGATTCAACTCCTTTGGGTAGTGATGGTTAAAGTGACACTATAAGCACTAAAACAACTTTAGCATGTGTTTGTGTATAGATCATGCCCTTGCAGTCTAACTGCTCAATTCTCTGCTATTTAGCCCTAGTCATACTTCCCCTGCATGTGACCTTCACAGTCTCCCTACAAATTTCCTGTAAAGAGAGATATACTGTTTAAACTTCCTTTATTACACGTTCTGTTTAACTTAGAATTTATTATCTCCTGCTCTGTTAATAGCTTGCTAGGGCCTGCAAGAGCCTCCTGTGTGTGATTAACATTCAAATAACAGAGCAAGAGATAAAAACTTCTAAAATAAACACACTGTGCTGTCAGATATGATTGAAAATAAAACTTTTTCCATATAGGCTGTGTGAGTCACACTCATGGGAGAATTAACTAGGGTTGCAGAAACAGAAACAAAGGTGATTTTACTCCTACATGGCAGAGAATTGAGCAATGGGGCCACAGGACCATGATCTATGCATTAAAACCATTCAATCTATGTCTCCAGAGCTGCTTATTTTGACTTTTTATTGACAGCACAGTCCACAACAGCTAAAGTGCCAATTGTTTGTCATGACTGCCTATACCTTTTTTTTTTTTAGCCAGTTCTCCCCTCACTGTGTCTCCGAAGTGGGGTCGGGTACAGTGTGGGTTATTTAATAGGACAGCCGCAGCATATTAATAGTACTATGTTCTCTTGACAAAGTCAATGGTAGGACGAAATGTGTAGATGATCATGTGACGATATTACTCATCACACCTACCTGAGGCAAATGTGAATTGGAAGTTGGTTCTACTTAATCCTAGATGAACGATATCGCTGTGTATTTTGGATATCACTTTCGGCTTAGTAGCTATTGTGGCTCTTGGAGTATTATTATTAAATATTTTAGCAGTGAATGCACTTGAAGATTTATTTGCATAAATCACTTTTCACCTGGAGCGTCATTACTATTAGAATTTTGTGTTCCTCTAGCCATGTGACCCATTTGGTAACCCAGATGCCAGTACCTTATAGGCATTTTATTACGAGCTGTGGTCATTCATTTGGAACTTGTGGGCTGATTATTATGGGCTAAAAGGAACTGGTGTGTGTTGTACACACAGTTTAGTACACTGTGCCACTGCTGCAAATTATGTGAAAATTTTGTCTGCTCAAAATTGCTATTTTATTTAGTGTGCTACTGCAATTTTTGTCATGAACGAGGATCGTAGGCATGACTTTGTTTTATTTGTATACAATGAAAAATATTCAATGTATTCAATAAAAAGTTAAATTTTATTACCGTTCTTTTTTATATATGGTTGTTTGAAAGCTGTTATCAGGCATTATATTGCCAGATTCTAAATTCTAGTCACAATACTGTAGACTATAATTCTAAAAGATAATAAAGAGAGCCAACATGAACCAAATACAGATCTTTTCAGATACGTGCATTTACTAAATTGTTGCAAACCAATGATCTCTTTCTAAAAACAAACATTATAGGATTATGTCTATATTATGCATACATATCAAATCCTGTGGGCACTATGCAATCTATTAAAAACTAATATATGGTGTGATCGACACAGTATTAGTGCAAGACCAATAATCTCAGGACCGAACAGGAACATAAATGTCTCATCCTGTCCAAGGTAAGTAGGAATTACAGCCCCAGGTAGCATCTGCTATTTCTAGTAGTCGCCATTAATTCAGTCCTTCTCCTTTAGATATGCCATGACATAAGCTGGAGAGACAGAGAAAGTGTGATTCTTTCTCCATAGCAAACCATAACAATAAATATAAATAGTGTGATAAACGGCGCTATCTTACATGAAAAAAGGGTGTTACACAAAATCACCAGGTGTTGGGCCACTCCACACACCACAAAACACAATATAAACAACTACAATAAAGCAGAACACAGGTGAAAGCACACACAAAAGGTAAATAAAATATTACCACCAATACTGGTTGTATCAGAACCTAAAACAAATATAGATCACAGTGCAGTATATCACTTATTCATATGTAGATACATTAAAAGTGTGTAAGTCCAACTCACATATTGCTGAGCCACATATAGTAGGCTCAGACTATAATAGCTCCATATACGTGCAGCATGTTCCTATTCAGATATAGCCAGGCAGTTCTCTCCCCATAGCTACTGTCCCATATTATCAGTAAAGGGATAAGGGCTGAATTTAGGCAGCAATCACAAATGGTACTAACATCTGACTGACTAAAGGGTCCCTAGCTCTAACTCCAATTAAAAGAAAAAAAAAACTAAACCGAAAATTAATACTCCAGCCTGTATTAGGGGAAAAATAATCCATATTATTAATGTCACTGTTCTCATTAATAATTTATGCACCTTCATTTATTTAAATGCCTCCAGAACCCCTCAAATGCATTATTCTATCAAAATACACGCTTCACTAAAGTAATAATGTTAATTGAGATGAAAGGTTGCAGAGGTGAAACTAAGTTGATAAATCCTGTTATATAGCTACATCATTTTTATTGCATTTTATCATTTTTTTTATTTTAAATGATTTAATTATTGCTTCTTATGCTGGGATTTATTCTAATGGGTACTTACTGGAGCAATTAAGTCTATTGCATGCAAATAAAACAGTGACATGTTGTAAATGTGTATGCATAGCTGCAATCTGACATCTACTGGTTGCACTGTGAATTATCAAGTGTCATAAGTAATAATTGGGTGATTTCTTGCGATAATTAATAGAGGTTCAGGAAATTTGTTTTTTTGATGAAGGATTTTCTTAATATTGTCATGGTCATGCAGTTTGATGCGTTTAACATTTCAAGTGACATTATAGGATGACTTAATACCTTTTTATCTCCTGCTCTGTTAATTGAACTTTAATCAGACACAAGGCTCTTGCAGGCTCTAGCTAGTTATTAGCAGATCAAGAGATTAGAAATTCTAAATTAAACAGACTGTACAATAAAGGAAGTTTAAATATTAGATCTATCTTTACAGGAAGTGTGTTTGGAGACTGATGGTGGGGAAGTGTGAATAAGGCTGCATAAACAAAGTGACTTAACTTATGCAAATGGTATGCCATCCAGGGATGCATTTACCACAAGGCAAACAAGACATTTGCCTAGGGCGGCACTTTCAGGGGCGGGCGCCAAAAAATGCCACCCCAAGCTCCCAGACAAATGCCTTGTTTGCCTCATGTTCTGGGGCTGCCCACCTTACTGTGAGTGAGTTAGTGTGTGTCAGTGTGTTTATATCATTTTATGTGTATCTAAGAGTGTGTGACTGTCAGTGTGTGTCTGTCAGTGAAAGTGTGTGTTGGTTAAACAGTGTGTGCCAATGACTGTATCTGTCAGTGAGTGTATATCACTGCATGTATCAATGAGGGCATGAGTCTGCCAGTCAAAAAAGTGGCCTTGACACGAATTGGGAGGGCAAATTTGGATTTTGGGGGTGCCCGAATTTAGTCATGCCTAGGGCAGCACAAATCCAAAATACACCACTGATGCCATCATGGGGGTAATTCTCATTCCTGGGCTAACACACAGTCTCAACGGTAACATTACAAATCTGGCAAATTTCAATATAAAAAAAAAACTGAAAAATTTAATGTGCTATATTTGACCCTGTAACTTTCCAAAACACTATAAAACCTATTATAGGGGGGTACTGTTGTACTCGTGAGACTTTGCTGAATACAAATATGTGCATTTTATTGCAGTAAAACCTAACAGTATTATGACATTTACAGCTAAAATGTCAGGCGGAACTACAAATTTTTTAACAAAATCTTAATTTCTCACAGTTTTTTCTATTTTATTCATAATAAATTATGTTTAATATATGAATAGTTCATGGGAAATTAAAACGCTGTTTCTCCTGAATAAAATGATATATAATAGGTGTGGGTGCATTTAATATGAAAGAGGTAAATTATGGTTGAACAGACCAAACAGACCAGCGCAAATTCCAGTTTTTGTTTACATTTTGTTTTGATCAGAACGTGTACTATTGAATCCGTCCTGAAGGGGATTACCGTAACTATACTGCACAATGTTTTTTTTTGTTTGTTTTTTTTAATTTGTAGATACCCCAGCTTGATCCCAGAATTTTGTAATATATGTCTATGTGGTTGGTTACCAACTTGGAGATAACCTTGAGAAGCTGTACATTTTCAAATTGATTTATTTTTTTATTATATTTTTCACCTTACACTGTGTTAAGGTCATATTTATAGTCATTCGGTCTTGTATAGATTTTAAGTGTATGTGGGTGTTAGTGATTTATACTGTTTGTAATTACGTTATTCTATAATATCTTTTTATGGATTTATTTCCACATTCCATGCAAAGATTGGTTCCAAATTGCCCATGATCTCTATTTCTGGCTGATTTAAGATTCCAGATCACTTTATTAGTGCAAATGGAATGTTGGGATAACCAATTGAGTAATTTAAATATTAATAAAATATTTATTGGAAAAAAATCTCTTTTGATTTTCTTTTTTTTTTCTTTTTTATAATTCTTTATTTTTGAAGTGCATGAAAACACAACAAGTTAGTTTGCAATGCCCCAACAGCACGTGAAAGTATACGAAAAAAACACAGCGCAACATTTCGGCAGCATTTGAGAATACAGCACAATTTAAAAAAAAAAAAATGCTAATACCTCCCTGGATAGTTGCTAAATGTGACATTGGTATATGTAAGCAGATGGTCTGAAACAGATTTTGGTGGTGGCAAAGCAGTTAAACCATTACAAATCATAGTTATTCCTGGCCATGTCAGATTGGGTCCCCTCCAACACACATGCTTAGCATCACAATTAAGTTTAGACACATTGAACCCTATGTAGGAGGGGTGGTCATTCCTCCATTCATAGATGATTGTAGAGATGTGGCCAGCGAATTATGAATCCGCATAGACATTTTAACTCTGATATATTAACTTGATGGCATGGGATGCAAAAAGACAAATAAAACAAACATGATCAAATGTGGTAAGTTGTTTGTGTTCAGTTATCTGGTTTACACTTATCTCTTCTAGACCTCAGAATGTATCAGATTTATGCCAAATGGCACACATACAATGTCTAAGAACATAGTCAGGCTGTATGGATTTTGAATAAAATTGTATAATCTCTTTCATCTCATTTTGCTTTGCAAAGCAAACTTAGAAAAAGAACATCTGTGGTTGGTGAAAATTAGAGCATGCACTTTATCTTTCCAAAAAAAAAAAAAAATTAGAAAATAAAGGCAGGGTAAATTTGTCACAGATAGTAAGTATAGAACATTAATTGAAGTAGATTTGTGAAGAACAATTTGTTGACCTTTTTCTTATTGCTAACTCTCCTTTTGGCATTTCTAAACTGTACTTAATGTGTTTTTATTTTTCTTCTTGAGTACTATATTTTAGTTCTATCTCATTAGGGCAATAAAAGTCACTTGTGCTGCTTCTGTTAAGACAATATTACACTATTTGTGTGTTTTATTTCCTTTTATTTTTAGATGTATACCTGTAACCACCACTTTTGAATGAAAATAGTTTTTGTGCCTGGCACTGCAAGATTTTTGAATGCTCCATAAATAAACGATACTAATATACTTGTGAATATTGCATCAATTCTTTCATTGATCTTAGGCTTATAATATTTTAGGGTAACTTGTTTTTCATTGAAAACAATGAATGTGCCTAGATTTTTCCTTCCTAATGTGCAGTAACATTATGAAACTGGATAGAACAATTTTTACTTTTATATTTAAATTAAGACTATTACTAGAGCTTGCGCATGTCATTTTGAACATTTACCATGGTAAAGAGATGTGAGTGACGATCTTTGAGCCTTTATTTTCAAGTCCTGTTATTCTGGCTAACTCTATTCCTCTACAGCTATATTGGAAAATATTTTGGCTTATTGTAGGTGTTAGATTTTGTTAATGTTGATATGTTTTTTATATATGAATGCTATTCTCCACTTGTTTTTCTATATACTTACTTTGGCCTCGATTTAATAATTTTTCCTTCTCTGCCCTTTATATCTATGGACGTTTTACATGCATAAACTGAAACTGGAAGTGACATGACGCCAGATCCGTCACATCATTTCCATTCGTCTTCAAACCACATTACTGCCACGATTCTTGCCGAAAACAAGATGGTGATTTACAAAAAATGACGAACAGCAATCCCTGCTTACTCAAGAGGATTACAAGAAATAGCCGGGGTTAAGAACTCCCACGAAATCAGACACCCGCAATTGCCCAGTAAGAGGTGGGATGGACTAATAGGATCGCGTCTGGGCAATTTAAAAACACCCAGACAAGGAAGTAGATTCATCTGATTGAAAAAGCCTTAGAAAACGGCGAAACGCATCCCAGGAGGATTCAGCACCTTAGACTTTTACATATATTGTTTTTATTGTTTTTTTAGTACTATTTGTCTTAATAAATATTTACTGATTTTATTATTAATATTGTAATACAAAACAATAGTGTACACGGTGTGAAAGACAAATAGATAGCTCTAAAACACCTATAAAGTGGTATCCCTTACACCACTATAAATACAATACAATACATACAAAATAATAGGTGGAGCTGTGAAATCTCTTGAACAATCTGTAAAACAGAATAAATGCAGATAGTGTAGTATGTCTATACAGTATAATACATAATAGAGGTAAGATGGTTGAACTCACAAGACTAGAGTCATACCGTCATATGACTCTAAAAGTATGCTCCCTTGGACCATTACGGGGTTGTCCAAACCCTTCTTTCGTTGGTTTCTCTATGTTCCCCCTTGTAATCCTTAGAGTGTCTCCAAAAGAGTGCCCAATATACAGGAGATTTTTGAATACTGGTATTCGTTTATTATAACAGAAAATGGTGATAAAAATAACAAAAAATAACAATAACAAATATACCAATAAATAATATTTATTGGTATAGTGTATTGTTATTTTTTGTTATTTTCATCACCATTTTATCAAAATACTATGACTAAAGCATTGCATGACTACAGTGAGCTGACCATTGCATGACTACACTGAGCACAGAACATGCTTGCATGTGGTTTCTTTGCTGACAGACTCCAGGAACCTGTAACATGGATTTTTTTATTTATTTTTTTAATAGAAAGTACATAGGTATGGCAAATAATAACAAAAGTTTAGATGAGCAACTACTAGAGGTAAATTACGATCTAGCACCAATATCCAATCAACAACTTGATCTGACTTTTAGACAATATCACATGAGCGTTGTCAATTTTTGTTCCTAGTAATGCTTCCAAGATAAGAAATAGTTATCGACTTTCAGTGGCTCTGTCATCGCCTTCCAAAATAATGATCAGTTCATAAAGATAAAATGTTTCTGAAATGCTCATATAGACTGTGCTCTATAGACATCAGTGTTACACTCTCACATGTGCGAAAGTACAGCAATCACGTCAACTCCTGGTAGATTAAGTGCCATGAAGTGAAGAGGACCTTGTGAAAGAAGATGGTGGTGGCCACGAGGGACAGGTTCAAATAGGTAAAAACTACCTTCTCCTTTACCCCCAGATCACTCCACTGGAAGCAGAGCAATCACCACATGTGGTCTTTGACACATATGCAAAGACCCTATAGGTGACAGAGCCACTTTAAAAACGTGCTTAACTTTAGACACCATCCTTAATCACATGACCTTGAAATTGATTATCTGAGGTTGCAAGGTTAATTACAAACAATGGAGTGATTTGTTTCAATATTTTTCATTGACTGTCAATAGAAATACAGACAAATGGTGTCAAATTGCAAATAACAAAGGCCTCGGTTTAATATTGTTAGATAAGCTTTTTTTAAATGAGTTAATATTTTTGGATAAACTTTTAAAATGATTTAATATTATGAAAAATATTTTAATTTTGTAATACTTTGATATGTTAATGTGTTTTATAAATTATTTTTTTAAATATTTTAATAGGTTTTAACCTGGTTGGTAAGTGAGGAGTGTCTGTACTTGAGTTTGATGCTGATGCATGATTTGGGGTAAACAATCCCTGATTTTGGCACATGTGCCTGATGTCAGTGTGTCAATATTAGATGTGGTTTGTTACAGTGTTAGACAGGTAAACATGCAAAGACTAGCGTATTTTGGTATATTTAGGAAGTGAATCTTGAAGTCTAGCTCTTCTACACATATAAATAGAATTGGGGTTGAAAGGATATCCATCTGCATGCTTAGTTGGAGATATGGTATCTCCTGAACTAAGTGTACAAAATTAATTTAATTCCTGTAGAATATTGCATATTCTATGTTTCTATTGATTATGTATAGATGTCTGGATTGACAGAAGTAACAGATTGTATCATAAGTAAGTCACAAGGCTTTCTTTGTCTGAGAACTCTGGAATGAGGATTGGGGGTCTTGTCATTAAATGGCTAGGGTTATACTTTGACGTCATTATGGTCATATCTATATAGAATAGGGTACAAAGGACCACAAGATCTTGCTGTTGCTTGCTGCTTGCTGCATGAGGTTGTTCTTCTTGTCCGGCTGTCTAACTATGTAGAGTCTAACTCTCCCTTCAGGAGTCCAGCAATTACCATCTGCTGTTGATCATCCATTATCCTATAACACCCTTTGTTGTTTTATTATGTAGCAGTAATTGTAAGAATAAACCTGGAGAAACCATAGGTCAGATTGTGTATTAGTATTTTTGGTTAATATAGACCTATATTAACATGGCAAACCTTTTACCCAAGAAGAAATATAAATAAAATACTTATTTCAATTAACTGGAAAAACATAGAGAATAAACAAATGTATTACAATCCCTCACCTGAATCATTTGGTGAAAGGGGGTGTTAGGGATTTAAGATAGAGGTCTGAATATTGGGGGAACTTCTGTTGCTTTAATTTTTAACCCCTTACTTGCTAGCAACGAGTGAGAGGTTGAAAACAAAATCGATTAGTCCGAATCTCGATCGCAACAGCAAAAATACATATTCAAAATTTAGATAAAACAAAACAAATCACAAACAAAACTTGGTTCTTCCAAATACAGTTACTTTCTCTAATTTATAACTAATTAATGAAGGGAGCATCCCTCACCACGTGATGTAGTGCTTATCAAAAGTCTGCCTTTTTTTCTGCATAAAAAGTTTACATTATGTGGGTTTGCAAATGTGTTTAATAAACTGAAGCACTCTGTCAAATGACACCTTGCCAGTTTGCATGATACAATTAATGATAATTTACTTTTTTAAATCTAAGTTTACTTGGAAATCATTAAGAATAATGGATGATTGGAAGTAGCCTCTCCTTGTTCTCGATCCACTCAAGTCTTGTCTACATTTGCTAACTTAAAAGAAAGCCTTTGTCCTGCGGTCTGCAATGTATTGATTTCTATATCTCTTTAACTATAGAATCTGAAGTATCTGACAATAGGACAAGGGCTGTACTATCCAGTTAGAGCCGAGAGCAAACATTTTTCATGCTGCTGCTTTCTTCACCCAACAATCAGTAAGGAAGAGCGAAACAATGACGTGAGTATCCATGCTCATGTGAAGAGATCTATGCTTCTTAATACCAAGCTTAATGGACTTTATTTGTATGTATCTCCGTTGTATCTAAACTATATAATCTCAAAAGCATAATTTAAAAAAAAACAAGCTACTGAACTGCCCCACTAATGTTATCAATAATATATTTAATATATGCCCATATTGCTTTCTAACACATGTGATTTCTACACTCTAAAAACAGATTAGTTCTTGTATACAATATAAGTCCCACACTCCTGGGTGGCAGCAATGACCATAGCACACAAGCACACAAGAGTTACTTGCACACTAGCCCAAATCCCTACACACATTTAAATAACAGGTGTTTAGTATCACTCCAATGGCCATTCAAGTGTAAGCTCCTCTGCCCCGTCAAGGCAAATCTCCTAAGTGGGTCCTACACTAACAATTCAATTTGCTTCTTTCAGCTTCAGGTAAAAAAAAATATCTATTGAGACAGAGAGGGTTGTTTTTATAAACTCTTACATACTTATTAACCCTTAATAGGGAATACATGGGGTGGATATGGCTGTGTGATACAAAAGTAAATACAAATGTACAAAAATAAGTCCTGCTCTCATTACTCCTTTTGCGGCAGCAATGACTGTAGTACATGTCAGCCTAAAATACATACAATAAAATCCAAATAAAAGAGTTACTTGAGCACTATCCTAAATCCCTATACACATTTAAATAACTGGAGGTTTTTTTTAGTGTCATTCCAATGGCCATTTAAGTGTAAGCTCACCTGCCACGTCAAGGCAAAACTTTTAGGTGGGCCCTACACTAACAATTCACCTGGCTTCTTTCAGATTCAGGTAAAAAATCTGTAATGAGACAGAAAAGGTTATTTTTCTAAACCCCTATGCACTTATTAACCCTTAATAGGGAACACATGGTAAGTCCTGCGCTGCATTATTTCATGTGCCTATGGCTCTGCTCAGTTTATTCACCACCAGCAAATTATATTGAATTGAGCAATCCATTGCAAAATTTAGGTGCAAAGTGATCATTTGGAAAGTTATCGAATTCAGCTTCAATCACAGTATGGCTATTTCAGCCTACAGCTTGCAATTCATTCTTGATGCACATCAGCCTAGTTTTGAGAGGAGAATAGCTTTCGTACCATGATATTAAGCTATACTCAATATTTCCTCTTTAAAATAGTAGGCAGCTATGATTATTGATAGAGCATCTTCTAAAAAAAACATTACTTTTGCATGGCATTCTGGTACTTGGAAGAGCTCAGCAATCTCCATCAATTCTCAAAGCAAGTGTAACGGAAAAATCTTTATCTCAATTATTTTACCATTAATATTAAAAACAAAAGGTTTTTTTTATGAGCACTCATTCATTTATCATACGTTCCTCGAGAACAAATGGAATTAATAACTCACTTTCTCCTGCTTGCATGTGGTTAGGGAAAGCACATTGCACTGTTAAATTGTGTCTGACAGTAGAAATGTCACGTCTAAGCCAATTAGTAGCAGTATAATGATGTTATTCTTAATTTAATGTTGCAGTAAATTAAAAGTTCATGTCTTTATTAAATCAATAGATGGAATATTACATCATTTTGTTTTGTGCGCTATTGTGGCTTTAAGTAGATAGAATGGTTTTACATAGCATCGTAATATGGCAAGTAATTTACAAAATGCTTAGCTCCTGTCATACATCCTTAGCCAAGCTAGCCATTTCACATGAGTTAGGAGCATTTTGTTGTAACTGCTTGCTGGGAATCCTGTTGTCTATGAGCCATTTCATATGAAATATACCATGTAATGTTTTAAAGATGCAGTGCTAGAAGGCACAGCAAAATTACACAGTTCAAAAGATGATACCCACAAGAGCAATACAGACTATACAACTATATAACTGTAGCGGAAAAGCTTGTATTAATAAATGAAAGGATATGCTCTTTACACTCTTCAGTTTGCCTCCTTTACTTATATAAAATTAAATCTCTATCAAAAACGATTCTTTGTGGAGAATAAAGGAATGTTACTTAGTTTTTCTTCCGAAAAGACTTAAGCAATTCAGTAGTCTTCATTAGAGAACTGTAAACTGATATAGTTTATAAATGTGTCATGAAGGTATCATGCAAACTTATTGTCTAACTTTAGATATATGGTTTAAATAGAAATAAAAATCAGCTTTTTTTTTAAAGTAAATGTGAACTGGCTGTCACGCAGGATACTTTTATTAACATGGGTAATAAGACTAAGATTTTTGTTTTGTTTTGTATGCATCTTCAATACACCAAGGTTCAAAAGCAGCCTCGTTAATTTAGTTTAAAATTAATTGGTATTCTAAGTTACTTGTTTGTGTGTGCAAACTATTGTATAATTGAGTACCTAATCTAATTTAATGGATCATTCATCCATTTTATTGAATCTAATTTATTTACAGATTAAATGAATTGAATGTTTAACACTTCAATATATCAGTCTGTCTTGATTTTTTGGAATATGTTAAAGGCTTATGCCAAGCACCATAGCAATTTATGTTCATTAAATAGATTAAGTTGCCCACTGGCTTTCTGCATTTTTTTGCTTAGACTGCAGCAATTTACTATAATCCTACTGTCTTCAGCTTAAATATAATATATTAGTGAACCTGTATTTCTCTCTGACTCTTAAATTAGTCACTATCAGGATGTTTTCCTGCAGGTTAAGTCAGGACCAATGCAATGATTTTTGGCTGCACAGGTGTAAATGAAATGCATTTTGCAGACCCTCACCCCCTATCCCCCCACTCCTCATAATCTCCCCCTCTTCCTCCATGTAATTCCTATGTTTATCTTTTCTGTATGATGTACAGAAAGTTTAACTTCTTTGTATGAGTAAAATGGCAGGTGTTATGATTTC